TTTTATTAGTAGCTTTAAATCATTAAAAATCATTATAAAAAACAATACCAAATTACACTTGAGAACTCGCCGTAGAACACGCATAAAACGGGGGGAAGGGATTGTTAGTAATGTCAACTACTAGTCCTATTGCTAGCAGAATACCCTGTCAGGTTGACTTCCACGTGGTTCCCCCTGGAACCATCGTGCTGAATTCCAGATATATTCATCGCGATGGGCTAACTGACTTACATTTTCATTCGTACCTATCATCTCACACTGGTGCCTCGCCAGCGTATACCATTAGCGAAGGCGGGGTTACCATTCCATTATCGTCCATTAAAAAAAACCCCCTAAAACAATAAAACTCATCAGTGAACCGAGTTTCTTGCGGATTCTTCTCAGCAAATAATATTCCGTAGCCAATCATAAAAAAGTAAAGACTCGAGAGCTTGTAAACAAATCTATTTTAATAATGATGATTTATTCGATCAAATTTATTCGGAAATGCAATTATCGAAATTCAATTAAGTACCAATCAATAGATAATAAGTCAACATGGAAATAGCTAAATGCCATTAGAGAACGTTAAACAAAGAAATGCTAAGAAAGTGGTGAAAGAATAAGCCAAATATTAGGAAGCCCGTATAATTGGAATGAGTTGTTCAATAGTAATAAAGCAAAGGATTTAAAGGTATATTTGTATTGTATGAAGTGAAATGGTTAGTCAATAATGAAAATAATGGCAATAAAATTGTACTAACAATGTTATTATGCTTCTAGGCTCCAAAATAAACAGGATTGTCCCAGTAAGTTTACCAGAAGGAGACTTTGTACAAAAGTCGTTTGCTTGGACACTTCTGTTCTATTCGTGTTTCTACCGTGAAGCAGTTGTATTTGCATGGCTGTGTTTCGGTTTAAAAGGTGGGATATGGCAGTGAATTTACAAGGTACCGAGGAATAACACCTGAGCCCTCAGGAATTTCAACGCATGAGGGTATCATGGGCGAAACAGTATACACTGCTCATTTCTCATGTCACCGTCATAGGCGACGGTTACCACTTTCCATCAGGTGAACCGTCAGCTTGTTTGCCATTCTAAGTTGTATGAAAAAAAAATAGTAACAAATCAAAATATTCAATCACTACTAAGTGATTACGCTTTTTAATTATATATACACTGTCTAATAGTCAGGCCAATTTTTCGTTTGCTTACATTTTACTAAGTACTATTGAATCCAACTGTAATAAATAACAGGCACCAATAAATTCGCATCGCAATTATTTTACCTAAAGCTTATAGCTCTCCTGCGTCCTATTTTAATCCCATCACATCCTAATACAACGAGTATTCACAATTCTGCAATAATATAGGTTTAAACAAACGATACGCAGTAGATATTTTAACAATTCACATCAACAAATGTGATATAGAGGGCATATTCGTTACTGACTATGAATTCATCCTCTATCTCGTTATTAACAAACTTTTTTTTTATGCAACTTACAATGGCAAAAAAGCTGACGGTCCACCTGATGGAAAGTGGTAACCGTCGCCTATAGACATGAGCAGTACCATAGACATAACAAAGTATACTGTTGCGCCCATGGTACCCCCCATGCGTTGCCATTCCTGAGGACTAAAGTGTTATTGCCCTGTACCTTGTAAATTCAATGCTTATAAACTGCTATAAATAAACTTATTAGTTAAGCTATTCTCCAAAGATCGGTTTAATGTCGACGAAATTTTTACGACAATATTTAATTTTTACTTCATACTCTACTAACTCAAGAAGATTTTTTTTATTTTTTTTATACGTAAACCGGTGTACGTTATTTGCTTTCGCTTTTAAAATGAAATTAACCAAATAAATTGTAAATAGCTGTCAACATTTTCCCGTGAATATAATATGGATGATGAAAGCGTACTTTGTAGAGTCATTCATTTAGAATCTTTTTATTAGTAACTATAAATTATTACAAATTAGTTGGCATAAAGATATCAAGAGGTGCATTAATATAACTAAATTGCGACGAGGCATTAAAACTACTTTCTTCTTTTGAAAGTGCGTCTGTAGCGAATTTAATATATTTTATTAAAATTATCTGCAATTTTGTTTATTTTGTACCAGCTATTACTAACCTTGTCCTTGCATATGTAAATTAATGTAAAGAACATCCTAAAACCAGCTGGATTTCATCACAAATTTTACACGTGCCTAATTATTTGAGTATTTACAAACATTTTTAAAATTTTTTTACTTCTAATTTTAGTAGGGAAAAGAGTATCTAGAATACAGTATAGTAGGATATTCATTTAAAAATAAATTAAAAAAAATGAACAAATACCTTAATCTAACGGATTTCTTATCTGGTATTGTCTTGATGTACTTTTTGTTTTTTTTTTTTTATTATTCTCAGTGTAATCTACAAAATTGCTTTCCAAATCATTTCATATTTGCCTACGATTTACTAAAGATCAGCGAATATCACTTACACCTAAAATCTTTGCCCAAAAACTAAAACAATGAAGCAGTTATAGCATCTTAAAGTTACCCAATACTTACTTCGGTGTAAATTAGACAGTGTATTATTAAGATTTATCCCATTTCACTGGCCACTCCAGTCATTTCGAGGCAAGGTTGTAAATTTGTAACCCTTCCAATCCCGTAGCTGTTACAGATGCGTTTCCTTTTTATTTCAATTGATTTATGGCGCATGAAACTATCACATAATTAAGTTTTACGAGCGTACTACTCATATACTTTTATAGGTGGTTCGGTTAAATTCAATATCATTTACTTGTCCACTTTGTGGTGATCTTATACTGGTCAATTATTTCGTAATTGTGTAACAATCTACAATAATGATATCTCGTGTGTTTAATAATTTTAAGCAGCACCATTATTTTGTTTTTATTCTGCGAACTTTTTATTCTTCTCTTCTTTACCGATAGGAAGTTATTCAGACATCATCTACAGATATTAAAATATATTTATAAATAAACGACTCGTGTTCGAATTTCGAAAAACTTTTAAATTTTGGACAGACCTCTGATTACAGTTGTCTCGACTCTGCAACAACTTTTAAAGGAGCAAAACTAATGTTTATTAAAAAGGTTTTCTAGAAAATCTGCAATTTAGAAATAATAAACGTTTTTCTTGTACACAACGTTTAATGCAATTTCTAAAACGTTTTCCAAATGCGGAGTTTATAAAAAATCTTTCATAAGACTGACATATTTCATTGGGTAGAAAAGACTCTAAAACTTTATAAGACAAAAATCACCAGTACTTTAATAAATGATTACAACCTGATTCCTTCATGTGAAGACGATGCCTTCTGGTATGAAAAGTTTCTGTACCGTCTTCGTCATTCCTCAATACTTCTAAAGTTCTTTGTCAACTATGATACTTTATATGTCCCAAAACCCAAGCTACGTAACTTGACATTTATTTTTAGATATCCCAAACATGAATTTGAAACATTCGAATGTTCGGGCTGAGATTTCATCTTGGAATCCTCAAGCTATAGTCAAGCGTTACATGGATAAAGCTGTCAGCGTTTCAAAATAAATTATTCACGTTAATGAACTAATTAGACATTAACAATGAATACGTAATTGCGTTGACAAATTAAATTTGCGAGTAAATTAATTTCTAAAGTAAACTCTGCAATGATTATGCTACTTTTATATCATACTTCCTTAAAGTAAAACACAAATTACAATTTTAATACAGCCGTTTACTTAACTAACAATTAATTACAATTTTAAAGCTCGGCAGGACTTACCTTTTGTTTTAATGGGTAGCCACTTCTTCATTATGAGTTCTTGTATTCATTCGCCTCTTGAATGAATTGGCCAATTAAACAAAACATAAATTAGGGTGGTATGATTACTTACTACAGACATTAAGTTGAATTGAAATAGCATTTTTATTATTATTTATTATGTATGTTTATATATACTTTAATTTTTCTCATAATATTTCCTCTATTACTCGACTTTTAAGCACTTTCAAAAGGAAGCTATTAATAATTTATGTTACGTCTACTTTCTATATATAATTACATCAATACTTTACTGATTTTAATAATTCTGCTTGCAAACAATGAAAGTTATTGTTGCTATGCTATTCTATATTAGGTTTTTATAGGCGATTTTTTGTCTTAAACTAATATATTTTTCTAAAAAAAGTGTTTATAATAATAATAATATTTATTTAATCAGACTACATAAGACCCATTTTGTTGATTATAAATTGACTTAACCTATGTTAGTAAATGATCGGTCATAACGCTCTAGCATTGATAACCTGTCCCACCCAATATTTTAGGATGGGACAGTCCAAGTTTAGCTGTGTTAATTAATAAATAAATATAAGTGTCAATAATTAATTAGATTAAACGCTTTATTTCGTATCTTTATTTCTGTTCCTATCCGCATTTTACGAAAAAGAAACTATTTATCTTTATTTGTAGTAAGCAAAAGTATTACGATTGTCTGTCCAATTGATTGAAGCAGTGAAACTTTTCAGTGGCAGTAATTGATCGATGGAATTTATTATTTTATTCCTTAGTCTTCTATCTGGAAATATACTTTATTTGCTGTTTGTGTTGTGATTTATTATTGAAACTTCTTGATATTGACTATATGAAGAATGTTAGGATATCATATTATTTAAAGGAGTACTTTAGATTCAGCAACTTCTACACCTATGAAGTACTTTCGACCTGTTTTAATAATAGCATCTAAAGAGAAAACTATTCTATTACTACCTTCAAATTTCAGCAATAAAATTGGTTGTGTAGCATATTTATTTTGTTGGTTTTTTTTTTTATCTACAATTACATCAATAAGAATCAGATTAAAGTAAGAAGCTTAAACAAAACAACAATCAACGTATCTCTCTCTACAAACTAAAGCACCGAATTCCAAACAACTTAATTACTCAATTACGGTACTATACGGCAATAGAAATGGATAACATTAAGCGGTTGATAGACAAAGCAAAACAAACCTTTACACTCGTTGGCGTCCCTCGCCGTCGCTCGTCCCCAGGGCCTGTCGAAGTGGAACGGCTTGCATCTCTCGCAGTCCCTCCCGGCGGTGTTGTGCTTGCATTCACACGTCAGCTGCTGCACCCCGTTGGACACCTCCCCGCCCTTCATCGGGACACACCGAGAAGCGTGACCATTGCACTTGCAGCGCCCGCCCACAGCGAAATCAGAGATGGCATAGTGTTGGCTGCCAGGCGCCGCCTGCTGCTTGCTATCCACCTCATCGCCCTCGTTCACCATGTGCAAACGGTTGAACACGACCCTCACATCAGTCGCTGTCACCCAGTCTTGTAGTACGGGAGATATGTCGAAGTTTGCAGCGCTCGGCCGGCCTTCTAGCGTGCTGAAGGCCAAGCGAGCGCCTCCAATGCTGTCCCCATTCAATCTATGGGAGTCCGAGCATCTAGCTTCCTGCTCGTTCGCAGCGGTCACAGTAGCTTTGTTAGGCCTGCCGTACACCCGACGGCACTGGCTCGAATAGAACTGAAACGGTTGCCAGGTGACGCCGTAGTCGGCGCTCTTGTAAATAGCGACAGAATCAGCGCGGGCCGCTTTCGGACAAAACTGTAAACTGACGTAGGTCAACTCATACTTTTTCCCGAGAGATAGGGTCAAAGACACATTGTCGGGTGGCGAATCATAAGATGCGGGTGTAAGTGCAGCCGATCGCCAGCAGGTCACGTCGTTGGGGTTGTTGAGGTCAGTGAGATGGTTTGGCGGATGTCTGCGGTCGGATCTGGCCGCGTCGCAAACCCTGCAAGCGTTCTCCGGGGCCTGGTCGCCAGGGGGGTCGCACAGTCGCTCGGGGCCGCGTCTTCCGCATATGGACGAGGCGACGACGGGCGCTCCGAAAGCGGCGTTGACAAAGTCAGGGATGCAACGCCTGGGGCGGCCGTCCTCATAGCAGGGGTCGGGCGGGGAAGCCGCGAGGGCCAGGGCCGCGGTGGCGAGGAGGGCCACGGCGCGGGCGGGCATCGTCACTCACAACACTCACTCGCGTAAAGTTTGCACGGAGCACGACTAACTACGACACGTACACGCCGGTCGAGCGCCGCCGGCAGACTGGCGGGGCGCCGCAGCTTTTCGAGCGCCGAGCTTTTGTGATGGTACACATTAGAAGACTTTTTGTTTATGTTGTAGTGAAAGTCCTTTTTTCTATAGTACAATTGCAACTGCGTGTAACCGAGATTCTACAAACCTTACGTATTATTATTTGCGAGGTTCCAATATTATTAACTGACTAAAGAGCAAATATTTCCAACCGATTTCAGCAAAGATGACATTCTTACTTATAAGGTTTTTTTTTCGTATTTATTCGGTTACACCAATAAATACCGAGCGATGACTTTGTCTATAAAGAACTGAATTGTTTTATTTATTAATTTTTTTCCTGAAAGACCTATATAAATTTATGCAAATTTGTAACCTGGAAATATTTAAATAGGAGTATTATATATTTTTTAATTTTATACAATATAATTTTTATCCTTATCTTTATTAGCCCTTCAGGCGTAGTTTCATGCTTAAATTTAGCATAATATTTGAAAATATTTTTTGAAGTTTGCTTTCTCCGAATTTATTGGCATGAAAACTGGGGATTAAAACCTCTGCCACCAACTTTATTATAATAATAATAATTTATTTGCATTACTTACAGCACACAAATGACAACAGGCATACACAGTAAAGAGATAAAATAATGTTTTTTTTTTTATACAACTTAGAATGGCAAACAAGCTGACGGCCCACCTGATGGAAAGTGATAACCGTCGCCTAGAGACATGAGCAGTACCATGGACATAACAGAGTATACTGTTTCGCCCATGATACCCCCCATGCGTTGCCATTCCTGAGGACTCTGGTGTTATTTCTCTGTACTCTGTAAATTCACTGCCAAATCCCCCACCCTTCAAACTGCAACACAACTGCTTCACGGTTGAAACACGAATGGGACAGAGGTACCCAAGCAATCGACTTTTGTAAAAAGTCTCCCTCTGGTATACACAAAAAAAGCAATATATATAAAGTAACAATTTTTTTTATATACAAATATTGCTTTTTTGTTTATTTTATTATTATTGTAATTAGATACATAATAATCGTCAAAATACAATTTATCGATTAAATAAAACACCATCGCCATACACATATTTCTCCTGTACATTATGGGATTACCAAAATGCCCTATAGCGGTACAACTATCCCCAAAACGTCCCCAAATGTGAACACCAGTCGCGCTATGGGAGAATGCAAGCGAATCGCCGGATCGCGACGGTAGTGCAACTGCGAGCGTACCTGAATGTAATAAACCTAACCCCAACGGCAACCTCCCTTGCCCTCTGCTATCGGGGATGCACTTACTTGCACCATAATGAACTGTGTATTCCGTTCAACTTTCTACATGTTTACGTTTAATAGGTACTACTAATAAAATGTAAACAGTTTTAAGAGGTTCAAATTTAACTAAATCACGGATATCCACGGAATTTTGATATCGATTTTTATTTATTTATTTTTATTTCATGCAACTTATAATGGCAAACGAGTTGATGTGAAGTGGTAACCGTCGCCTATAGATATGAACAGTACCAAGGACATAACATAGTATACTGTTTTGCCCATGCGTGGCCATTTCTGTGGACGTATATATATATATATATACATATACTAACTTTGGGAATATATAAGGAATTTAAACATATATATATATATATATATATATATATATATATATATATATATATATATATATATATATATATATAAGTTCTATCACAACTAGTTTATGGCCAAAATTAACAAGAAAAATGCATGTACTATAAAGTGTTACGGTATTAAGTTACTTACATAAATGTTTCTACGAATACCGACTAGAAATACATGAGCAAGCTACCACATGTGAATTCTCTATCTTTTAATTAACCGACTTCAAAAAAGGATGAGACAGTTCTCAAATCAGTTCAACACGAGGATGAAAAAAGTTGATAACAGATGTGATGATGAGATACACATACGTATTATATGTGGAAATCACCCAGAGTATTGGGGGGAAAGGGATTGTTAGTAATGGAGACTGAGAATCCCATTGCTAGCAATATACCCAACCAGGTCGACGTCCTCGCGGTTCTCCCTGGAAACCATCATGGTTAATTCCTAATGAATTCATCATGATGGGCTAACTGGCCTGTTTTCATTCTCATCTATCACCCTTCACTGGAGCTCCGCCAGCGTATCCCGTTAGCACAGGCGGGGTTGCCATACCATTTTCACCCATCAAAAAAAATCTAAAAGACAGTAAATATGGTAATATTAGAGCAAGCCTTATCATAAGAGAAGATAAATAGCTAGCTTGTGGAACGTTAGTGGGTCATTTTGACATTGATAAAGTGCATTTTTTGTTTATATACGTATACCATACATGAAGGGTTTAAATCAATGAGTAAACATTAAGATAGGCCAGGAATTCTTTACTCATAACTTACCAGAGGGAGACTTTGTACAAAAGTCGATTGCTTGGGTACCTCTGTCCCTACTGTGTTTCAACCATGAAGCAGTTGTGTTTGCATGGCTGTGTTTCGGTTTGAAGGGTGGGATATGGCGTGAATTTACTGGGTACGGAGGAATAACACCCGAGTCCTCAGGAATGGCAACGCATGGAGGATATCATGGGCGAAACAGTATACTCTGTTATGTCCATGGTACTGCTCATGTCTATAGGCGACGGTTACCACTTTCCATCAGGTGGGCTGTCAGCTTGTTTGCCATTCTAAGTTGTATAAAAAAAACTTAGTTTTTTTTAATAGATAACAAGTTGACATCCCATTTGATGGAAAATGGTAATAGTCCCATATATGTACATATGTACATATATATTGTACACCAAAATACACCAACAAAGTTATCCGAATTCATCACATAATTTCCAAAAACAATTTAAAAGATATTGCAAACAAACCATCCAATTTCGTGTTCCCCAATTTAATTATAACTCAACATTATATGGAGTAAACAAGCGAAAACAAATTTAGAATTACTGGCCATGGGAGGGACGGGAATTTTCAGGGGATTAATATAATTTTTACAGTCAAAACGTCAAGGTGATATGGGTCTCTTCAGAGCCGCGCCCACGGCCGGCTACGCGCGGAGAAAAGAGTCGACAGGTAATTTGATAATTTAAAATTTTTATTTATTAAATTTTTTAAGAAAAATAATATAAATTATACATGTTACATATGACAAAACAACATATTAATGAAGATTATACAATTATATAATAACATTACTATTTTACATTGAATTTAGAATAAAAAGAATAACATATAAAAAACCAAAATGAATGTAGCAGTGTTTGTGCAATGGACCTAACTCAGCATATGTCGCAGTTTCAAATCTGAAGCTACGACACTGATTTTGAGTAGGCCCTAAATACGTAACTCACGGACACATGTGTGCAAAAGATGTTATGTATACATAAGAATAATACATAATACACAAAATATTATAAATATATATATATTATTGCACTTGGAAAATAAACGATACAGCGATTAGTTTAACAACTTGTTATCAAGGGTGGGCTTATCTCTAAAAGAAATCTCTTCCAACTAATCCAACACAGTGAGAGAAAAAATAATTATAATTCTATTCTAATTTCTTTCTAATCTGTTTTTCTTGTACGGTGATAGTTTTATGGTATAAATTTCATTTAATGTAAATTATATATAGTGTTATATACAGTACAGTTGTTTACTAATTACCATGTTTTCCACGTGTCGAAAATCAAATGTTACGTCTAAATGTTAATCGTGCTGTGTACACATGTTTTTTTAATTGTAACCTAATATAAAAACCATAATTACCTATATATAAACCTAACATGGTTATAATTTGTTGTGTGCCTCTTTAAAATAAATAAATAAATAAATAATTTTAACCACGGGTAAATTAATATGAGACTAGCATGAGAAGAAATCCTACACATTAGCAAAATCGATTTAGAGTGATTAGTGGCAAAGATGTAATCACATAACTTACAAAGATCATCATCATATCAGGCATTAACTATCCACTACTAACCATAGAGAGTAGATGAAGTAAAGTACTGGGCCACCTTATACGACATGACGATTTTTTAAGAGCATAGTAGAAGGAAACAGAGGGCAAAAGAATAAGGAGAAGACCGAGGAATAACTATTACACAGATAAAAGAAACACTAGGTGTCATGTCGTATAGGGAGATAAAGGATATGGCCTGGGATAGAGCTGGCTGGAGGAAGATGCATGAATTAATTGCACCGACAAGAGGAAACTCTTAAATGAAGAGAAGACTAACCATAGGTTTCACCCATATGAGGGGGAGGGGTTTGCCAGTAGTTGCCACGTTTGGCAGATGGGTTGACAACCGCAGTTAAGCTTTTGGTGGTATTTTAAAAGGTATTTTAAATCCATCTCATCTTCATCATCCATCCCATATCTGTCCATCCCGTGGGTGTTGTAAGAGCCGATTAAGGAAATTTAATGGCTCTGCCACTGCGATACTTTAAGAGGGACGCTGCTACCTATCCCTCGCTGTCCCTTAGTCGGCTCTTACAACACTCACGGGAAGGGAAGGGGTGACCCTATCTGGCCGGGCCCACACGGCAACATACAAAAATAATAGACACGTATGTGAAACCTAGTTTTATAAAGTTTCTTAAACATATAAACTGTAATTTTGAATATATTAATTTATTTTTATTAATTTAGACTAAAAATGTTATAAATAAAAAGTCCCTATACAATTAATTTTGATTCTAAATTTTATATAATACCAGTTAGAGCAATTTTATTATAAATGTAGTATCAGATACATCACTCTATTTATCTATGGTTACGAATATTGATTACAGAGTAATGAAAGAAGAATTTTTTTTTATAATATGGCACTGCTGGGGGGAAAGGGATTGTTAGTAATGGAGTTTGACAGCCCCATTGCTAACAATATGCCTTATTAGGTCGATCTCCACGTGGTTTCCCCTGGAAACTATCGTGAACAATTCTTGTTGAATTCGTCACGATGGGCTAACTGACCTACTTCATCCTCACCTATCATCCTTCACTGGTGCCCCGCCGGTGTATACCGATAGCGCGGGTGGGGTTACTATTCCATTATCATCCATTAAAAAAAAATATGGCACTGCTTGATAATTTCTATTCACACAAATTTATAATTTGTAAAATTATTTTTTTTTTTAAAAAAAAAAGCAAAAACTGAGTTCCTGAGTTCTTCTTAGCTGAAGCTGCATTGCGAAAGGGTAGTAGAGTCATTAAAAAAGTACTATTAAAAAAATGATTTTAATTATGTTAATAATAGTATTTAAGTATATTCGTATAAGTACTTAATTTATTATTATTATATGTAATATTTATGTGTTATATGTGTATTTCTTATGTATTACTATGTATAATTATTTCTGTATGTTGCTATAATTATGTCACATATTTTTCACCACATCTGCCCTTCATACGCTTTCTGTTTTTACCCAATGGTTAGCTGGTAGA